TATCTGGATTATTATAACTATTGGTTCTAATCTGATCCTTATATCTTCGGCAAAAATAGCCATATTTGTGGTACAATGACACACAACTATTGTATTTTCTGAATAAGATCAAATTGTCAAATACTCAATATCTTGTATATGACAGCAGTAAAACAAGATTGGCCACTAATGTACATTCTTAAAACTGTAATTTTGATCACGTCCCTCCTTCATACGGCTTAAAAAAGCGAAGCACGCGTGCCCCCTAACTTCATGTAATGGAAAAGCACTTTTTTCAAAATAAAACTCGCATATTTTTTTTCAAAACACATATTTGCAATATGATAATGACACTTATTTACAATATAAAGTCAATTTGAGCTTTATTTGTTACGTAATGTTTGTGGGTTTTTGTTGTATAATAAAATGCAAAATACATATTGTATATTCACAATGAGTTTCATGATGAAGATGTTATAGTTAAACTGCGGCATATATACAAATTTTAATTAGTGCACTTGAATTCCAGCATACAACAACAACAAAATATTCAACGAGTGCAAAGCATGTTTTTAAATTAACTTTTACATTTGTATATATTTACAAAGAAAATCTAAAGAAACTTGTAATGTTTACGTGGTTATAGTGTCCCAATTTTTTTATTGTACAACTTATTCCAGCTCTGGGATTCACAAATTTACAGATTATGAAACGTACATGTGATAGACACTACCTTCACATCATGCAATAAGTTGCGAACATTACATCATATTCCGCAATGAAGCACAATTTCGCTATCGTGCGTGGCTTGTGTTGGGAATGGCCTTATATAATACAATACACGCATTAATATCAATGCGAGAGGTTATGTAAGCACATGTATATCAATATAACAAAACAATTGGAAGTGTAGATATTTTTAGATGTTAATTGATCAAGCAAGTCTTTATGTGCACTACAAAAAATATATACTATGAATTCGATATTGAAGCACGCGTCCTTGTTGAAAATTTCTTATTTCCATGAGAATAATGATAATGATAATAACAACTGTGCTTATAAAACGGTTTCCACCGAAGTCTCTAAGCGCTATGACAAGCAAAATACAATGATAAACAATTCCATTATAAACAAAACAAAAAATGACAAACAATCCCACAAATTACAATAAATATGAACAAAGTTAATCATCAAAAGCAATTTTGAATTTTGTCTTAAGAAAAGTTTTGAATTGGTTGACAGTCTGACAGTTTTTGACATGTAAATGTAGTTTGTTCCAAAGTTCAGCAGAATCTTTTGCAAAAAGAGCGATTACTATAACAAAGATTTGACACCGAAGTAGATACGAGGTTTACTTGTGAAGATGATCGTAGATTGCATGAGGGTTTATATTCTGGCAGATAAATGATTGCCAATTCATGAATACATTTATAAGTCAGAAACCAAGATTGTGTACATAATGCGGTACATTACCAAAGTCATATTTACCTCTATTGATACAGCGATAAACAATTATAAATCGCCTATTTGAAGCAAGAAAGGCGTTAACTCTGCACCAACGCATTCACTGTTTTATATCAAGTTATTCAACCTCAGAATGTCACACCCGGCTCAACATGAAATTGGAAAATGCAAAACATAAAATCTAAAAAAATAAATCATACTCCAAATTAACATTTACATGATTAGTGATGAGAATACATTTGGCAACATGGGTATCATGGACCTTTAGAGTAATGTTCATCCTGAGCATGTTGATCCTAGGAGTAACTTGTATAAACCCCTCGGTTCGATTTCATCCTAAAATTTGGGTCAGACATGGCTGGGTGATAGTAACCTACTTAAATTGTCTATGTCAAATCGACATGCTGATAAAAGAAAATGCCATCGATTATTCAAGATTTCCCCTCAATTATTGATTTATGACAGACTACAGACAATTAAACTAAGCATACATTCTAATACCAACGAATTGAAAAGTAGGCCATATTGATATTTTCTTTCAAATAAAAATATTTATGCAATAATTTTAGAAACGATTATGAAATAGTAAACACTTTGAACAATATATACATTAAAGAAATTCGAATTCGAACGATGGTATATTTCTGCATTTATTTGTTTAGTATCATTTAAACAAGAGAGTGATATCACGTATGAAGACTTTGTATTTAGTACATAGTAACAAAGGCGAGGATGTATACGAACAGGTATGTGAATTGCCACAGAGAAGGAAGCATGTTTTGCCTACAAGCCCCTGAACCTGTATAAGACTCTATCTGGGGTGTTGGAGTGGTAACCGATGTAGGTACAGTATTAACAATCTGTCTTGTAGTTTCTTTGATAGGTGGCCACTCGAAGTCATTACAAATTGTTTCACTGACATACGAGGTGATATCATGTGAGCAACAAGAAAAATGAGTGTTATCAGGTAGCCAGAATATACCTCTAGTAATTTGGCCATCTTCTGTAATATTAACCCTGACGTCAATCATCTGATCATTCTGGTAACATGATAGTGTGGTTATAACGCTTCCAGTGGTTGCTCGACAGTGTACTTCATAAGGATAATCACCTTTTCCACTCAAGGTGATGAAGCATTTTGCAGGTCCGGGGGGAACTTGAACAACAATCTCCTTCTTCATAGTTTCATACCTAACGTTCTCCAAACTATGCCAGACTGCCAATAATACGTACCCATCCTCGTCTAGAGTATCAACGTTATTTATCATTAGATTCACGCAAGAAGAGGTGTCTAAATGTGTGACTGAGGTGGTAAACCTTCGCAACTGGGATGGGTTTTTGAAGCCCGCGATATCATTTTGTCCATTAGAGCAGAATGGACGAGGCTCGGATTGAAATCCAAGTGTGTAATATGTCAAAATCTGGGATGTGTTACTAGGTGACAATGGGAGATGGAATGGGACAACACCAGGTTTACCTGCTTGTAGCGTGACCCGTTCAGTGATATCTCTGCCTGCTACAAGAACCGGACTTCCAGCAAGAATGATGGCCAAAGTGATTATCGTCTGCAGGAAAGTTTGTACGAGTGAAGGACACCGGTCAACCGATGTTCGACGTTTGGTCTAAATCAAAAGGGTAAGGATTTTAAAGAGAACGTTGCTGAAAATTAGACAAAGTCATGGAATATCTTGTTTTGCAAGGATCCGATGTGAACAGAAAAGATTGGGGGGGGGGCACCATTCAATGCTGTCATTCAATGTTCCACAATGTATGGGAATATTTAATTGACATTAAACGATTAAGAAATATGACGAGACAGTAAGTACCTGAATTATAATAATGAATGATAAGAGAAGTGTATATTCATCGACGAGCCTTCCTCTACAAATCATATAGTTTATTCAGCATCAACCATACTGATGATGGTAAATGATCAACTCTCTCGTCGCAAAAAATAATCTAATTGGTCTGGTACAGTATGTAGTTTCTTTCGAAACAAATCATGTCATGAGTTTTGTTTTGCACATACGCAGAAGTACAATATATTTTATCATTAGCTTAAAATTGCATAACTTCAACAGCAAAAAAAATACATAGGATAAACGATAAATGGAAGCAATACCGCGATTTTTCTCACTGGGTTTGAGGACGTTCCGTTGCTGGTGACAGAATTTCCGTCGTACAACTGTGGGTGGGTAGAGAAGCTGTTGAAATATAATTGTACAAATCAGAGTTAGCTAATGTAAAGAGATACCCAAAGAGGCCAATGAAATTGGGTCCGTAATAGGGTCTACTCAGATCATGTTGTATATATTTTTTGCCCATAAAAAAGGAAAATATAAAATATGAATGTTTACAAATAGACATAATATATATAAACCGCATAAAGCCGACATATGGCCAAGAGAAAAACCTAGATTTGAGATATCTACCAACCAGTACAATGGAGACCGCATCAAGTCTTGCTTCTATGTTCTCTTGTTTATCAATGATTAAGTCCAAATACGAAAGTGCTCTAATTCCTGTAATAGCTGATTTCATACTGTTTGCTTACATAATCTGTTTTTGTGTAAACTGTATTCATACATATTATGAAGAATATACAAATAAATTTTGAATATTCAATAACCGTGAAAGAACTGTTGTTATTAATGTTGCCAGTAATTGTGGAGCGAAATACACGAACTAAATACTTGTTGGTCTACGAATAATAAAGCTTGCTCATATTAAAGAAACAGAAAGTCACTATTACCTCTCAAACTTCATTAATGTTTCGTTGATTGGTAGATTATTGCCAGCATTCATCGGGGAAGGAGATTCCTGGATAGGGAAAATCAATTACATCATAGAAAATGTCATAATAGAGTGCTGTCACAGGATATGAACCAAGAAGACAAATTGGCGACAATAAGTTTTGGTTAGCACGGATGCTCTAGGAGGCTTTGGACATAAAAACGAGTAAGAACAAATTTAAAATCATGGCATAGAATGAACATGTTATTGTTTCACACAATATAAATATCTGACCAGTGTGTATAATAGTTTTGCAAGTAACCTTCTCATTCTCTATTCGTAGAATTTGAGTGCTTGTCTCATATACCACGGAATCTTTACTATAGGGCTATGTACAAAAGCTCATTAATCTTGCTTTAGGCCATTACAAAAAATATACATGGTTAACGTCACCGCCTGCTTTTGATTTTTTTTGTGTTAAGAAAAAAAAATATGAAAAAGACTGCTAAAATGGATCTATTTCTGATTTTTAAAAAAAATAATGTCGGCGGCCATCTTGAAACATAGCCCGACTGTCAGGGTGAAAGGTACCGAGCGGCCATTTTGAGCAGCCAATTTGAAGAAAAAAAAAAGAAAAGGGCCTCCTCCTTCCTATTTTTCAAAAAGGCAGGACGCTAAACATGTTTTTTTTTTTTTTTAATTTGTCCTTATACGAATCTTTGATGATATATAATCGGCTGAATGGTCGCTTCTTAGCATATGTGTATTTACCATTATCTTCTCTATCCAAATTTTCAATAAAATATATAAAACTTAAACATTTATTAACCACTCACTCTCTTTTCCCTGTCTTCGTCAATTAGAGAGTGACATCTGGATTTCGGTTCTTCAGACGGATGACCCTCGGCGTCCATGCTTTGTAGATTGGGTGGATCGAATCCGCTGTATTGCCATGTCTGAGATCCATGCAGGGAAAAACAGTCTGTGCCATTTGTTATGGTGTCTCTTTTCCTTGTCCCTGTGCACCTAATTACCTCCATCTGATCTAGTATTGGATCTTGTTCCCCTTTGTCAGGACATTTCAGCTTAGCATGACTGAAAGGATTGTGCTCCCCATTGCCACCTTTTTCATCACCATGGATCCTTGTGGGAAGATTCTTCAAGGAGAGTTCATCGGCTACTCTCTTCGCATTATCAGGTTGAGTGCAACCATTTGCATCGTCTGCATTGTCTACCTTAGGTGTTAACTGTCGTGTACGTGACTGTGTGTCTGTTTCCTTCATTTCTACCACCTTCTTTTTCTGCTTCGCACCAGCTCTTGTGGCGAGATGTTTGGCACCGTTGTGGTGGCCCCCGGACAGTGGACGCCCTGTATCGTCCTCGTTCGGGTCACATTTACGTGGATAGAGGTGTTCATTTACGTTTGGATGAGCTACATCTTTGTTACCATCATGGATCCTTGTGGAAAGATTCTGCAAGGAGAGTCCACCGGCTCCCCTCTTCGCATTATCAGCTTGACTGCAGTCATTCCTCTCCTCTGCATTGTCTACCTGGGATGTTAACTTTCCTGTACGTGACTGTGTGCCTGTATCCTTCAATGACGCCGTGATATATACTCTTGTGATGAGATTATGGTTGCCTCCAGGTCGTGGATCTCCAGTTTCTCCCTCACCTGGTTCATCCCTACGTGATGAGATGCCTGTTATTACACGTGGATGGCCTGTGTACGTTGCTGCCTTGAGCGGCGTCAAATCGTCTATATCATTCAGGTTCATGTGTGCTTCATTCAATGTAAGAAAATCGACTATGTCTTGATGTTCTTCTTGTGCAGCAGCATGAAGTGGTGTCCAGCCATCATGATTCTGTTCATTGACATTAGCGTTGTGATGAACGAGAAACTTCATGATATCGATATTACCATTGTAACATGCTGCATGAAGAGGGGATTTGCCGTCTTCATTTCTATCGTTTACATCATATCCACCGGAGACAAGGAATTTTACCACATCGATATGGTCATACTGGGTTGCGATGTAAAGTGGGGTCAATCCTTCAAACCTGGTACCCTGAGCTTTATTTTCCAAGAGAACTTTGACAACTTCTAAATGGCCGTTACTGACTGCGGCATGCAATGGTGTCCAGCCTATGTGATTTTTTTGGTTAACATCAGAACCTTGCTGAATGAGATATTTCATTACCTTTATATGGCCTCGAGTAACCGCTCCGTGGAGAGGAATCCTCCCGTCATCAAGTTCTTCGTTCACATCAGCTCCGTTTGATATGAAGAATTTGACGATGCCTAAATGACCAAAAAATGCTGCGGCATAGGATGGGGTCCTTCCGGCATATCTGTTCTGCTTCACTCCTTTAGACATGAGATATTTGACAGCGTCTAGATGGTCATATTGAACGGCAGCATTGAATGAAGTCCACCCAGTGTTGTTTTCCTTGTTCACATCAGATCCTTGCTGAATGAGATATTCCATGACTTTCAATTGGCCATGGGCGGCTGCACCATGGAGAGGTATCATCCCTTTGTCATCTTCTTCTTTCACATCAGCTCCTTCACCAATGAAGAATTCAACAATGTCTAAATGACCAAATCGTGATGCGGAAAAGAGTGGGGTCATACCTCCGTATCTGTTCTGCTTCACTCCTTTAGACATGAGATATTTGACAGCGTCTAGATGGCCATATTGAACGGCAGCATTGAATGGTGTCCAACCCTCGGCATCACCCTTGTTTACATCAGATCCTTGTTGAATGAGATATTCCAGGACTTGTATGTGGCCTCGAGTAGCTGCAGCATGGAGAGCAATCTCTCCTAGATCATCTTCTTGGTTCACATCAGCTCCTTTGGAAATCAATAATTCCACGATGTGTAAATGACCAAATTTAGCTGCGACATAAAGTGGGGTGATACCCTCATTTCTGTTCAGCTTTGCTCCTTCGGTCAGGATATATTTGACAGCTTCCAGATGGCCATGTTGAACAGCAACATTTAGAGGGGTCATTCCGGCGTCGTCTTTTTTGTTAACATCGCACCCTTGATGAATGAGGTACTGTATCATTTCAATGTCACCATTTATAACTGCACCATGTAAAGGAATCTGGCCTATACAGTCTCCCTCCTTCACATTACCTCCTTTGGAAATGAGGAATTTTACAACGTTTACATGACCAAATCTCGCTGCGCAATATAATGGAGTGATTCCGTTATATGTACTCTCTGTCACCGTCATATTCCAGATATATTTGACGGCGTCTAGATGACCATATTGAACGGCAGCATTCAACGGCATCCAACCTGACTTATCTTTCTTGTTCACATAAGATCCTTGCTGAACGAGATATTCCATTACCTTTATATGGCCTCGAGTAATTGCTCCGTGGAGAGGAATCCTCCCGTCATCACGTTCTTCGTTGACATCAGCTCCGTTTGATATGAAGAATTTGACGATGCCTAAATGACCAAAAAATGCTGCGGCATAGAGTGGGGTCCTTCCGGCATATCTGTTCTGCTTCACTCCTTTAGACATGAGATATTTGACAGCGTCTAGATGGCCATATTGAACGGCAGCATTGAATAGTGTCCACCCAGTTTTATCGTTCTTGTTCACATCAGATCCTTGCTGAATGAGATATTCCATGACTTTCAATTGGCCATGGGCGGCTGCACCATGGAGAGGTATCATCCCTTTGTCATCTTCTTCTTTCACATCAGCTCCTTGCTGAATGAGATATTCCATGACTTTCAATTGGCCATGGGCGGCTGCAGCATGGAGAGGTATCATCTCTTTGTCATCTTCTTCTTTCACATCAGCTCCTTCACCAATGAAGAATTTAACGATGTCTAAATGACCAAATCGTGATGCGGCATAGAGTGGGGTCCTTCCGGCATAACTGTTCTGCTTCACTCCTTTAGACATGAGATATTTGACAGCGTCTAGATGGCCATATTGAACGGCAGCATTGAATGGTGTCCAACCCTCGGCATCACCCTTGTTTACATCAGATCCTTGTTGAATGAGACATTCCAGGACTTGTATGTGGCCTCGAGTAGCTGCATCATGGAGAGCAATCTTTCCTAGGTCATCTTCTTGGTTCACATCAGATCCTTGCTGAATGAGATATTTCATGACTTTCAATTGGCCATGGGCGGCTGCACCATGGAGAGGTATCATCCCTTTGTCATCTTCTTCTTTCACATCAGCTCCTTCACCAATGAAGAATTCAACGATGTCTAAATGACCAAATCGTGATGCGGAAAAGAGTGGGGTCATACCTCCGTATCTGTTCTGCTTCACTCCTTTAGACGTGAGATATTTGACAGCGTCTAGATGGCCATATTGAACGGCAGCATTGAATGGTGTCCAACCCTCGGCATCACCCTTGTTTACATCAGATCCTTGTTGAATGAGATATTCCAGGACTTGTATGTGGCCTCGAGTAGCTGCAGCATGGAGAGCAATCTTTCCTAGGTCATCTTCTTGGTTCACATCAGCTCCTTTGGAAATCAAGTATTCCACGATGTGTAAATGACCAAATTTAGCTGCGACATAAAGTGGGGTGATACCATCATTTCTGTTCAGCTTTGCTCCTTCGGTCATGATATATTTGACAGCTTCCAGATGGCCATGTTGAACAGCAACATTTAGAGGGGTCATTCCGGCGTCGTCTTTTTTGTTAAAATCGCACCCTTGATGAATGAGGTACTGTATTATTTCAATGTCACCATTTATAACTGCACCATGTAAAGGAATCTGGCCTATACAGTCTCCCTCCTTCACATTACCTCCTTTGGAAATGAGGAATTTTACAACGTTTACATGACCAAATCTCGCTGCGCAATATAATGGAGTGATGCCGTTATATGTACTCTCTGTCACCGTCATATTCCAGATATATTTGACGGCGTCTAGATGACCATATTGAACAGCAGCATTCAACGGCATCCAACCTGACTTATCTTTCTTGTTCACATAAGATCCTTGCTGAACGAGATATTCCATTACCTTTATATGGCCTCGAGTAACCGCTCCGTGGAGAGGAATCCTCCCGTCATCAAGTTCTTCGTTCACATCAGCTCCGTTTGATATGAAGAATTTGACGATGCGTAAATGACCAAAAAATGCTGCGGCATAGAGTGGGGTCCTTCCGGCATATCTGTTCTGCTTCACTCCTTTAGAAATGAGGTATTTGACAGCGTCTAGATGGCCATTTTGAACGGCAGCATTGAATGAAGTCCACCCAGTGTTGTTTTCCTTGTTCACATCAGATCCTTGCTGAATGAGATATTCCATGACTTTCAATTGGCCCTGGGCGGCTGCACCATGGAGAGGTATCATCCCTTTGTCATCTTCTTCTTTCACATCAGCTCCTTCACCAATGAAGAATTCAACGATGTCTAAATGACCAAATCGTGATGCGGAAAAGAGTGGGGTCATACCTCCGTATCTGTTCTGCTTCACTCCTTCAGACATGAGATATTTGACGGCGTCTAGATGGCCATATTGAACGGCAGCATTGAAAGAAGTCCACCCAGTGTTGTTTTCCTTGTTCACATCAGATCCTTGCTGAATAAGATATTCCATGACTTTCAATTGGCCATGGGCGGCTGCGCCATGGAGAGGTATCATCCCTTTGTCATCTTCTTCTTTCGCATCAGCTCCTTTACCAATGAAGAATTCAACGATGTCTAAATGACCAAATCGTGATGCGGAAAAGAGTGGGGTCATACCTCCGTATCTGTTCTGCTTCACTCCTTTAGACATGAGATATTTGACAGCGTCTAGATGGCCATATTGAACGGCAGCATTGAATGGTGTCCAACCCTCGGCATCACCCTTGTTTACATCAGATCCTTGTTGAATGAGACATTCCAGGACTTGTATGTGGCCTCGAGTAGCTGCATCATGGAGAGCAATCTTTCCTAGGTCATCTTCTTGGTTCACATCAGATCCTTGCTGAATGAGATATTCCATGACTTTCAATTGGCCATGGGCGGCTGCACCATGGAGAGGTATCATCCCTTTGTCATCTTCTTCTTTCACATCAGCTCCTTCACCAATGAAGAATTCAACGATGTCTAAATGACCAAATCGTGATGCGGAAAAGAGTGGGGTCATACCTCCGTATCTGTTCTGCTTCACTCCTTCAGATATGAGATATCTGACAGCGTCTAGATGGCCATTTTGAACGGCAGCATTGAAAGAAGTCCACCCAGTGTTGTTTTCCTTGTTCACATCAGATCCTTGTTGAATGAGATATTCCATGACTTGTATGTGGCCTCGAGTAGCTGCAGCATGGAGAGCAATCTCTCCTAGGTCATCTTCTTGGTTCACATCAGCTCCTTTGGAAATCAAGTATTCCACGATGTGTAAATGACCAAATTTAGCTGCGACATAAAGTGCAGTGATACCATCATTTCTGTTCAGCTTTGCTCCTTCGGTCATGATATATTTGACAGCTTCCAGATGGCCATGTTGAACAGCAACATTTAGAGGGGTCATTCCGGCGTCGTCTTTTTTGTTAAAATCGCACCCTTGATGAATGAGGTACTGTATTATTTCAATGTCACCATTTATAACTGCACCATGTAAAGGAATCTGGCCTATACAGTCTCCCTCCTTCACATTACCTCCTTTGGAAATGAGGAATTTTACAACGTTTACATGACCAAATCTCGCTGCGCAATATAATGGAGTGATTCCGTTATATGTACTCTCTGTCACCGTCATATTCCAGATATATTTGACGGCGTCTAGATGACCATATTGAACGGCAGCATTCAACGGCATCCAACCTGACTTATCTTTCTTGTTCACATAAGATCCTTGCTGAACGAGATATTCCATTACCTTTATATGGCCTCGAGTAACCGCTCCGTGGAGAGGAATCTTCCCGTCATCAAGTTCTTCGTTCACATCAGCTCCGTTTGATATGAAGAATTTGACGATGCCTAAATGACCAAAAAATGCTGCGGCATAGAGTGGGGTCATACCTCCGTATCTGTTCTGCTTCACTCCTTTAGACATGAGGTATTTGACAGCGTCTAGATGGCCATTTTGAACGGCAGCATTAAATGAAGTCCACCCAGTGTTGTTTTCCTTGTTCACATCAGATCCTTGCTGAATGAGATATTCCATGACTTTCAATTGGCCCTGGGCTGCTGCACCATGGAGAGGTATCATCCCTTTGTCATCTTCTTCTTTCACATCAGCTCCTTCACCAATGAATAATTCAACGGTGTCTAAATGACCAAATCGTGATGCGGAAAAGAGTGGGGTCATACCTCCGTATCTGTTCTGCTTCACTCCTTCAGACATGAGATATTTGACGGCGTCTAGATGGCCATATTGAACGGCAGCATTGAAAGAAGTCCACCCAGTGTTGTTTTCCTTGTTCACATCAGATCCTTGCTGAATAAGATATTCCATGACTTTCAATTGGCCATGGGCAACTGCACCATGGAGAGGTATCATCCCTTTGTCATCTTCTTCTTTCGCATCAGCTCCTTCACCAATGAAGAATTCAACGATGTCTAAATGACCAAATCGTGATGCGGAAAAGAGTGGGGTCATACCTCCGTATCTGTTCTGCTTCACTCCTTTAGACATGAGATATTTGACAGCGTCTAGATGGCCATATTGAACGGCAGCATTGAATGGTGTCCAACCCTCGGCATCACCCTTGTTTACATCAGATCCTTGTTGAATGAGACATTCCAGGACCTGTATGTGGCCTCGAGTAGCTGCATCATGGAGAGCAATCTTTCCTAGGTCATCTTCTTGGTTCACATCAGATCCTTGCTGAATGAGATATTCCATGACTTTCAATTGGCCATGGGCGGCTGCACCATGGAGAGGTATCATCCCTTTGTCATCTTCTTCTTTCACATCAGCTCCTTCACCAATGAAGAATTCAACGATGTCTAAATGACCAAATCGTGATGCGGAAAAGAGTGGGGTCATACCTCCGTATCTGTTCTGCTTCACTCCTTCAGATATGAGATATTTGACAGCGTCTAGATGGCCATTTTGAACGGCAGCATTGAAAGAAGTCCACCCAGTGTTGTTTTCCTTGTTCACATCAGATCCTTGCTGAATGAGATATTCCATGACTTTCAATTGGCCATGGGCGGCTGCACCATGGAGAGGTATCATCCCTTTGTCATCTTCTTCTTTCACATCAGCTCCTTCACCAATGAAGAATTCAACGATGTCTAAATGACCAAATCGTGATGCGGAAAAGAGTGGGGTCATACCTCCGTATCTGTTCTGCTTCACTCCTTCAGATATGAGATATTTGACAGCGTCTAGATGGCCATTTTGAACGGCAGCATTGAAAGAAGTCCACCCAGTGTTGTTTTCCTTGTTCACATCAGATCCTTGCTGAATGAGATATTCCATGACTTTCAATTGGCCCTGGGCGGCTGCACCATGGAGAGGTATCATCCCTTTGTCATCTTCTTCTTTCACATCAGCTCCTTCACCAATGAAGAATTCAACGATGTCTAAATGACCAAATCGTGAGGCGGAAAAGAGTGGGGTCATACCTCCGTATCTGTTTTGCTTCACTCCTTTAGACATGAGATATTTGACGGCGTCTAGATGGCCATATTGAATGGAAGCATTGAATGGAGTCAATCCATTTTTATTTTCCTTGTTCAAGTCAGGTCCCTCTGCAATGAAGCTCTCTAAGATGTCAACAAAACCTTTTGCAGCCGCTGTATGAAGAGGAGTCTGACCCAGATCACACTCAACACCTACGTCCGCTCCCTGCAGGATGAGAAAGTCAACGATGTATGTATGTCCTTCTTGAGCCGCTGCATGAAGAGGACGGAGTCCACCCTTACTTGGTTTATTTGGGTTTGCTCCCCGGGTAATGAGATCGTCAACACCTTCGAGATGACCTTCTAAAGCTGCCTTGTAGAGCTGTGTGTATCCTTCCTCATCTATCTGGTCTATATAAGGGTTCAATGGTAGCTCTAGATTGGCATTGGCGTCAATCAGAGGTATTTCATCCAGTAGTCTGTCATACATTGCATCCCAAGTGTCATTCGGAACAGTCTCTAAGATTTTCCTGATATCCACCGGCTGCAGAGGAGATGAGCATTCTTCCAATTCGACGCAATTGTCATCAGCAGATGCGTTGGTAACGTGGAACACAGGTGTGTTATACGACAACTCCGGATGTCGGTCCGATATAGCGGGTCGCAGTGATGCAGGCTTATCAGATTGCACACTACTTCCTCCATCTGTATGCTCCATCTGTGCTGCATTTTGTTCAGTATTCGAGACAACGGAAGGACGTTGTAATGGCATGCTTTGCAGGGATGAGGTTATCGGTATCCTGGGTCCATCAACCCTAAAACAAAAGACATATTTCTATTGCTGTACTCGAAGTAATATTTGAGACTTTTAGATTTGCGTGGACTGATACGTGTGACGTCCATTCAACGCAGTGCATTAAAAGGACGTCGATCGTAGCAATCCACATTGTCTTTGTGCAAATATCAAAGTCCCTATTATGATATCTAGCACTTAAACTTGTTGAACCCTTTACGTCATGTTAATTTATAGTCGTACGAATTTAAATGAAGGTCAAATCAATGGAATATTACGCGGTTGAAAATAGGCAACACAATTACATGATCTCACGTGATTCTGACATCATCTTGGGGCAGGAGAGGGTTCCGTAAACAATTAAGTGAGCGGATATTTTTCAAGCAAAGAATGGAGTCCCATAGGGAAGTGAGTCGATAATACCGTGTTTCATCTAATAGGAGAGTAGAATTAAAATAAAATGGAAATCGACTGTTGTGCTAAAAATGAAGTTTATATGGGACATACGTAGCATGACTTGTTGCAAAGTACAATGAATATATAATAATATACATAATAACTATCTATTACACATATAAACCAAATGTTTAAATCTGATGTCCGTGGAGATGAGATAAATGTCTAAGCATGAATACATTAATCATTATTCGTTCTATATTTATAAATATTAGTTATCCTATTCGACATTTCTCTCCCTCCCCCTTTACTCGACGAGTGGATATGTCACCGGACCGAGGATCACAAGGCCCGCGGTACAAGTCCCACTGCGGCACTCATGTCCTTTGGCAAGACATTGATCTACATTTGCCACTCTCCACCCTGGTGTTAAATGGGTACCCGGTAGGATGCGAAAGCTAATGTGCTTAGATTTAATAGCAAGTGTGCGCTTGTAAAAATGACTCCTGGCTAGAATGCTCCCCAGGGAGTTGTGTGCCGGTAAGCCTGAATCCTCAATCCGAAAAGCGCTATATAAGAACGAGCTATTATTATTATTATATATATCTGTAAAGCGCTTTGAGAGGGTCTTCGGTCCTGAAAAGCGCTATATAAGAACTGGCTATTATTATATTATTATTTCTCTTTTTGTGTATTTTACCCTCTTCTCTCCTTCTCTATCGCTACCTTCGTTATCATCTTAACAAAAATGCCAATACGATTTTATTAACTCACCTTACCCTCACTTTAACCTCTTTCCGTTTTATTCACTAATATGCTAATGTTATTACGCGAATACAAGTTATAACAACCAATGATAACAAATATGTCACAACCTAGGTCTACGTTAAATTTGATAATAATTTATAACAAATTAAAAGAACTTACGGTTTCTGACCCTGAATTCCTACGTCACAATCAGCGTCTTGAGGGAGACTCTGCCCATTTTCATGTTGATGTACAAACTCGCAAGCTTTCTCAGTGAGCTGAACAAAAATAAACACAAACAGAACTCATCACAGATATTATGTCACACCTTCACAAGGGTTTGTGTTCCCAATCATTAATCGTTTTAGACCAGATCAGATAATTGGGTTGAAATGCGACGTTATCTGGAACAATCTTATATTTCTTGTTATGGGGCGTTCCCACTATCATGATTGGCGCCACGATTCAAATCGTAGTCTTAATCGCGGAGTAATTATGGTGATCCTATCAGATAGTATCAGGTATTGAGGTCAGTCGTGGCAATCGGTTGTAGTGTTCACTCTGTAGAAGTTCAAGAAACAATAAAGTCCATGTTTAGGCGGCCTGTATAGATATCCGTCAGGGTCCAATCGTACCTCAAATCATGATCATGAAAGACCCTTATCATGACAGACATCGGGACCACAATCGTTTCCTGTCGCAACAGAGCGCATCGGCTTGTGATGAACATATCAGAAGGTATCTGAACGTATCTGCACGTACACGATCGTCCCAAATCGGTGACCCCGATCGTGATGATCGTGTCACATCGAGACCCAAATCGTAGACTCAATCGAGACAATCCTATCGGAACGTATATGATCATATCTCAACCGGAGATCAGATCATGTCACCTGAAATTGACCAATCGGGACCATTACTCAACCAAGCGCACCAAATCGTACCAGAACGTATCGACTCGCATCACCTCATATTCAAACCTGGCAATTCAGAGAAGTTCCACGATCAGCTACGAATGGCCAATCATGGGGTTCGTAACGGATCCCAAGAGAGTGGGAACGCCCCATTAGCTAACTCATGATGTTTTCCATTTAAACAGTGTCAACTGACATTTCTCCTTTAATACAACAACATGACTGAACTGAGATTATTGGTAATTGCCAGCACTAGGAGAAAGCGGCAATATTAGAGTCCTTGACAAATTTCAACCTAAGTAAGAAAACGATGGCTGATTTTTGATTCACTCTAAAGTACATAATCATTAAAGTGCCCCCCAAAAAAATCAAAAAAAATAAGAGAACACAAATTGAAGGTAGTCTATCAGAGTCTTGATGAAATTGGAGGCACTTATTCATAATAAATGAAGTACAACAAAGCGATGAGATGAATACCGTTTTTGTATCATGAATTGAGATAGAAATCTGGAACATCTATACGCATAAAGAATAGAGATCAATGAAACACATCTCTCAGAAAAATATAGATCATAACGATACGTAGTGAAATAAACTCACTGCACAGATACAGTACAAACAATATGAGTAATCAGATTCGGCCCCCCAAAAAATGAATGTATAGATTACCATCGGATCAATTCCCCTCCCCCGCCCCCTCGACCGATGTTTGGATACGCCTATGAAGGTCATAGACTATTTTTTTTCAGTACTACGGCCGTGGTTCCTCCGACGACATAGAGTAGAAGCAATGATCTTTGAAAAAGGGTGATATAACCACCAATTTGGCAATTTCTGTGTGCAAATGCAGCTCAATGTAATTATCCGACCCATTTGTTGCACAATACATATCTTAGGAACTTTTCCTTCGGGACCGCTTTGAAGTCATTTTGTAGTCAGGTAATTAATCAGGGGCCTCTAGCAAAAAATGTTGCGGGTAAATGCAACTCCAAAACAATAAAAAACAACTCCTTAATTAACATTTGGTTTACAATTAGTGTTTTCTTTTTGTGAGTTGAATTTACACCTAACTGGCCCCGGAAATGAGTACAAATGCCAAATCAATAAAATCGTTTTCATAAAGCATGGCAAAATCCCACTTCGTCAAGTTTTAAAACACAATATTCAATGTCTGTTAATAAACGCCATTGTAACACTTACAGGTGTTAGGAACGGGTTAATTACAATTCCTTTCCATTATATAGAACTTTAATTGGCAAAATGAGAAATGATAAGGGTCAGAAGACCAATGCGGTCGAAAATTTTAACAAAGTTGTTTGGGAATTGCAATTATACTTTTGCGGGAAATGAATTACCTTTTGCTCAGCATTTTTTTTTTGATTAACCATTTGAATTCCAAGAGAAAACATCAATTGCATGCTCCTCCCCCCCCCCCCCGCTCGTGACACACGAATCAAAGAACGTGTCGAATTACACATGCAAAGGGCCATGGTACGTTATTCAAACGATCGATATACAGAATTGTATGCTATAAGTCAAATTTATAACCTAGATGCTAAAATAATTGAAAGGTGCGCAAGGCTTTCACCTTATCGTCTTTATACATACAGTTTACAACTAAATTATTCATAACCTCACCAAGTGTTGTTATTGTTAAAGTATGTGAAACATTGATTTATCCCGATTTATCTTTCTTGAAAATGTGAGGTTTTAAAGCTGGAAATATTTACGAATGGTTTATCAGTAACTGTTCGGTTACTCAATGGCCTTCGAAGATACTTATTAAGAAATGGAGGGACTGTTTTCCGGATCCATATAAAACAAAACAGCAGCATACGTAACATGTATCAATGAATAGATCAGACTTTATTTCACTTTTGAGGTGACGTTTCGTGCTTTTACTAGGCTACTTCAACAGGAAAAAAACTGGGTTATTTTCACATAAAGAAAATCACAGAATAACATGATCGAATAAGATCAAGAAACAGTATAAGCAATTCAGTTCCCTTTCTTCTTTTTATTTTTCCTATTTTCTTTCAATGGACAAGTATCAAACGAATTGAATTTGTAAAAACAGCAGTATGAATTTAACTTTCAAACTTTAACATTAGATTTCTTTCTGGTTATTTATGTTCGACAAGTGTTTAGGGTCTGATCGGTATCTGATCGTACATCATTCGCAGATCAACTGCCGACTTTTTCTCAACCTACTATCGCCCGGTAATAGTCGACAACCACGGGGATTCTGTCGTCAATCAGTCTGAGAACTGTTGCCTACCCTTGAAAGACAAAAAATAGCCTATCCACGATCATTTTAGTCTGCAAAAGGTTTTCGATGCAGCAGCGTAAACCTCCAGTCGACCAAAATATTCCAGAGACCACTGAAAACCAACTCCCGACCAGTGGTAGTCGGGTGTCGACAGCCGGCCGTATCTTTAGTTTTAGGCTTTATCTTAGGCTTTGGACAATCGAATCCTCTTTAACGTTCTTTCACAGGTCATGATAAATATCCTGGACAATTACTGCAATGAAAATTTCCCCACCAACTGCTTTTTGGAGTACCCCCAAAATTTCGTTTCGCAAAACAGGCATAAGTTAGAGTTCACCAACATCCCAATGAAACGCATTTTAAATGTAATGCATACGTTTGAATGGGTCGTCGGCGAGTTTGCTCCCACGACGGTTTCATGAAACGCTACCTTGGCGATTATAATAAAAAGGAACAACTCATAAAAGAAAAGGGTTATCTTAGGGAGAAAGCAGATTTGTCGGACAGATAACTCATAATGATTGTGATATTTCAATTTTCAAGATTGATTTTTATTTTTGTATTTTGTATTTCTTTTGTTAAACGAAAACTAAACAAAGAAAAACTTAGAAGACTAAGACATTATACATTTTGTATTTGATCATAAGTCCGGGTCCCTATAGTGAAGGCCCATTCCAAAAAAAAAAAAAAAGGCGTGATAATAAGAGAAACATTATCATTACGAAATCTGAGGGAAATCCAACAAAAGTATAGGAAATTTATGAATCTCTGATTTGGTTTCAATCAAACATTATGTCATCTAACTTTCGTACACCTCGGTTTGTTTGTCTGATGAAATCCATATATTTTTATTACAGATATTGTTATTGGTGAAAATATGTATCCAATAATATATAGAGAGCATAGGTATGATATTACTACATCGTTTTATTTGGTTAAATTTTAAATGACGTTTTTAGTACAACACAAATACATAGGGTGCGCCAGCGATAAAGTTTTGGCGCTAATAGAAATGGATAAATGTGTATCCTTACTGACTATCAACATGAACTGAATCAAATCGTCTCTTTATTGACTCGCAGGCCATTTAATTTGTAATCATAAATGGCACCAGAACCAATTACAAGAGACCGGCAATGTGGGTCTCGCAGAGCTTCTGATAACTGTTTAAAAGGTTCAATAGACCGACGGCCTACGGGCCGAAATACCACCGGATTTTTTTTTTTTTAATTTTTACTACCTTCTATTATGTATTTCTTTGTTTTTATCGCTTTCATCAGCTGTCTGTCTCGAGGGCCGACTATGTCGTAGACTTTTGTTTGTCCTTTCCTATATTTTATCATACATTGCTATGTCTTGTCGGTTTTGTGGGCACTCGGTCTAGAGAAACTAGATAGTTGTTGATCTACAGGGACGACTCTTAGTTCCTTGAAAGGAAATTAGTGGTTTTGCTAATTAATATTTAATTCAACGATTCTGTAGCAAATGTGAGGGGGTGATATTCGTCGTGAATGTGTGTAAACATCAGAAGTGGGATCATAAAGCCTAGAAACCTCGTAATTGTTAATGAAATATGAAAGATAAGTAGATATGATATCATTTCCTTTTTACTTTAGTGAGTTAACCTTCTAAACTACCTAAGCATTGAAAAGCATTTCGTTTACCTTGACTCCATCTGTTACTGTTGATCCAGGACCCATCTCCTCGCCATCAGTGTTCACCCCCATATTGAATCACCCTGTAGCAAGTGAAATGTAGAGGTATGCATCATAAAATGATCACACGGCATCATGCTCTGTTTAATTTAATTCAAATCAATTCAATTTCGATTTTTTTTTTTTCCATTACAAACAATAATTTACATAATGAATACATACAACAAATACATTGGAAGGACCTCTTCGTAAGCAAAGCATACTAGGATGGGCCCTGTTAAAATAAATGCTAATAAATGAACATAAATGAAATATGAATAAAACAGGCAACAGGCAATAGTAATAGAAGCAAAAACATACACGCACATACACTTATTCATTCCAATACCACAACCGTATTAACACAACAAGACTCATCAGCATACATGTCTTTAAATACTATACATGCAGAAGTAAGTTTTACTGAAGAACAACATGGATAGACACAAAGAGTTAGAGAGTCAGAGAAAGAATAAATTAAATGTATTCATTATGTATACAATCAGAACTATACAAATTAAAATAATGAAATGAGACGGAAGTCAGTCTATATTTTGTATATTCTCTGTTTACAACTTTACGCCCCGATCACATCGAAACAAGTCTAGCACTTTCTTCTACAGCGACTACATTTTGGATGAAGTCTTTATATATTTAAATGATATTTAATTTTCTAATTACACGTCACTAGGGTCAATACTGCAAACTCATGTATATAAAACTTTCATAGTACTTACTTCTGTTAGAACACGAAGGTATAGAAGTGCTCTCAATCTGGCATTAATCTAGCAGTAGACACGTCAATAGCCTAGTCCGGAAATGATGTCAAAAACTTGGCTGTAAATAGCACACCAAACCAGCTGCCGGGAGTTGTCGCAAAATAATGGCGTGTACTTTTAGAATGGTGGTAAGGAACGTTTGGATAACGCCTATATTTGTCACGTGATGTATATCGCGTCAATTTCGGTCCCTAGAAAGTATTATATCACGAGGTTTCGAAGGCCTGCTTTGATCTTTGTCTTATGATGAGTTTATTCAGTGGTTAATCATTTTCCGTAATTTGTATTTGTATTCTTTAGATTGTGTCAGAGGTTATTATGATAACCAATCAGAGTTAATATTTCAATCGAATAAATAGGGCTCTTGTTATCTGATTATATTTATTGCTGAAGATTTATCTTGAATATATCATATCAATATCATCATATCATATCAAATATTTGACGAATCTGCTTCATGTTCAAATTTCGTTTTGCCCTCGTCACGTAGGCCACGTATTTAACCTACATCTTCATTTGTGTAGACTGGTAAACAATTTTTCACTCAAATACTGTATTCCCTTCCTAACACACCATGGACTGTAATTTTAAATACTTGATTATGAGGAACATTACTGTACAAGCTTTTAAGGGGGTCCTCAGTGCTAGTAGGAGCAACTTCACACTACTAACTCACGATTAAGCGAGCAAGAAATTAAATGAATAAGTTAATGAATAAATTAATTCTAAAATAATACTTTGTAAGGTCCTGAAACCGACAGCCAAGAATAATAACAGCACATTATACCGAAATAGAATTTTGGTATAGTAGTCTGATGGTATCATGGGCTGTCGGTCTAGTGGACCATCAACGAAATCGTCAAACAAGAAAGATTAAGAGAATCATAAAGGTTGGATTCGGATGTTTATAATTTTTCGCATCTCGAAATCTATGATCCAAGCTGAACTCAATTTGATCAGTTGCTGGATTAAAAATGGAAAAGATTTTTGTTTTGTAGAAAGTAAACATACAAGATGGAATATCTGCCACTATATACACCCCTCCCTCTCGTCAATTTAAAAACTACCAATATTCCCGCACTCGACACCTGATATTCGGGAAGCGAGATGGTCAATTCAATTTAATTTATTTCGCAAATAAAAATCAAAGTATACAAGCTAACAGTAAATGTTAACTAATTTTACAAAGGTTATATGCGGGACTTTCCATGAAGGTTGCGAAAACCTGTAAAGTTCGATCGCCCATTACAGAAATACAAAATATTATAAGCACATAACAATATATTAAGTAAAATAAGCAAAATACAGACACTTGAACTGATGAACTACTTGAACTTCTTCTACTACTAGTACTACTACTACTACTACTTGAACTACTATACACAATTTTTGTACAAGGGGGGGGGGAGCGTCTAAAATTGTGTATGTAATTTTATTTGTAATATTTTGATACATTGCCTCTATATTTTTCTTTTACTCGCATCGCTCTCTTCCAAAATATCTAAAGTGGTAATTTGAACTGGGCGAGCGACCTCAGCCTCCTTGTCCTCCCTCCCCCCCCCCCCCCGTAGAAAAATTGTGTATAGTAATTTATAAGAGTTTGTGCTGTTATGAGTTTTGTCATGTAGTCCTTGTACATAATTCGCACAAAAGTGGTTTTAAAATGATGTTATGCAGAAGTGTAATGATCATAAGCTATGGTGGTGCAAGATGGCACAGGAAAATATGGGATAAGGCGATGACATCATCTTATGATTACCCTTTACTAATGGAATCTTTCCGTATTTCATTACATAATATGTGTTCCATTATTAAATTCATTCTTTAAGTTATACGTATTCAGTTTGAAAAATGTAGAGTTTACCATGAGAGTGACTTTGTCATCAGAAGAGGTAGATTTATATTTTTATTAAATACTATATTATTGTAATGTATATTATTATTATTATTTTTATTTTTTTTTTCGTTTTTTAAATTGTCCTTTTATTTTCTTTTTAATTTATATCAGTTTATTCTAATTTATTCTAATCTGAATGGAATAGGTAAATGTGTTTAATCAAATCCAAACGTTAAAACTACCAGACTCAGTCATTATCTATATATTGATAGTTTGTCATGGTTGAAGCATCTCAAGCTTTAAAAAGTATGTGGGCTTAAACCTGACTCAATGGAGGTATAATGGGACAAAACCAGACATTTGTTAAAGAGTGTAAATTTAGAGCAGTTTCTTTTTATAATTATTAATATGGCTGGGCTGCCAGAAGTCGATTAATATATTTCTCTTGTTAATCATTGAGTGTTGTGCGTGTACGTAATCTTTATGGTTATATTTACTGTACAAAGTACAATGGCAAGCAGGGGTATTAACTCCTTACTTTATTGCTTTAGCTTGATATGTACAAATAAACACTTAAGTCCATATCTATCTATTTCCGTGAACTCTTTCATTTAATCTAGTTATATGGAGCTTAAAATCAGGTGACTTGGAAAAGATGCGTAAGGAATAAAGGAATAAAGGTCACCAATCCAATCCAATCCAAAAGATATTTGATATAGCGCCTTTTCCTTGCAGTTACAAAGTGCTGCACAGATGCTCCACAATGTTTTTTTTTTTTAAATTTTAAGTATCATGATTCGTTAAGGTTCATCGTTGGAATTAAAATAAAACAAGAAATAAACCTATCAGTTTGTTGTCTCTCGCCACATGCACCATTTTCTTCATATTCTGACAGACTGTTTACTGTCATGACTGATTTTGAAGTACCAGGTGGTAACCCCAGCAATACTTTCGTCAAATATGCCCAAATTGTAATCTCTCTGTTTCTCTTCCTCTCTCTGTCTCCCTCTAACAATGCCTGGCTGAAAAGTGCCCTTGAATTACGCTAAAAGATAAAAGCAAACATAATTTGCACGAAGAGATGTTTGAAAATAGTCAATGTAAAGATTCAGGTATTAGAATCCTACTTGGAACAGCTGGATCAAAAGAATGGAGTATTTTTTTTTTTTTGTGTGTGTAATTCATCACTTACCCTGTGTAAGAGGACGATACAAGAGCATTCCAAGGCTTAATAGTAGTCTTTGTACTTCGGACAGTATCGGTGACGAATTTCACTACTTATTTGATTGTGATAACTGCACTAAATATTTTTTCTCACCATAGGACCCGCCCGAACACATCGAAAATGTTTTAACTAGACACAAAAAACGTAAGCCCCCCCTCCCCAAGCAATTCCTCATAAATTTTGAACCACCAAGTGTTTTTTTACAAATTTACCTGAAATGAAACCAATCATGTGGTTCTCATATAATTTTTGTGTGTGAAATCAGAGGTACCACATGTCAAACTTCACAAGATTGATGTCATTTGTTTAGTGTACTGAGAGACAGCAACATTCACGAAGGACGGCGCTGTATCATGCAATGGGCTGGTTAGTGATCTCCTGACACACCCAAAAGTCCATTATTGCACTGTTCAAACGGAACTGAAGTCGTGTCATTACTAAAGTTGTATTGAGAAACAGGTAACATATAGTCCCTTGCAATGCTACTATTATACTTCAGCAACCATTGACTCTTGCTTATTGTTCCTGTAATTTGAACTCAGTCAACCGTGAAATATAGATTCAAGGTCAGCAGGGTGTCAGGAGATCATTAATTAGCCCGTTACAAACAAACAATGTGACTGTCTCTTAGAACAATAACAAAATAATAGCAATCTTGTTAATTTTTAAATACTGTTATTTGTCTTCAAGGCATGCTTATTCTAGCATGTCTCTTTTGGGTAAATATGTTCAAAACTAGAATCTAGAAATCATGAAGGTTTGCTCAGGAGGAGGGGGACTCACTTCCGTTCAGTGTTATTTTGCTGATTATCACAAAGATGTCAACAATACAAGGTTTGTTAGAATTATTATGTTAAAGATTGGTAAATCGCAATTATTCATCTACGTATGTTGATCTCTTCGTATAATCCTAACATAGCGCATGTATGTATTATTATACAAATTACACTGTCTTAGTTTGTTTACAAATGCTTTAATTGCCATCTTAACTTTATTGATATGATATATAAAACAACAACAATGTATTGTGATTTTCATGCATTTTTCTCATACTCTGGAAGGAGTCCTCAGAAATGAAATTCCAGTTTCTAGTTTATCTCTCTCTCTCTCTCTCTCTCTCTCTCTTTCCCTCTGTCTATCTCTTTCTCTCCTATTATCCCTCTCTCCATCTGTTTTTGTATCTGTGTTCGTT